CAACTCCTAATATTCTGTGATTCTGTAATTTTGATAGTGCCTTTCAGTTTGACAGGAAAAGTACAGCAAAGCTAAGTATCTGGGCACTAGCATCAGCGCAATCCAACCCTGCTAGGGGATAATTTTTAAAAGCTGCTATTTGGCATGTTTTAGTCAAGGTTGTTGATTTTACATACTTTCTGATTTAAGGATGATATTAGAGGTTTCTTTAAGCCTTCATGTGATTTCTTCATAATCTGGGGAAAACTGGGCTGCGTTGAAGACACAAAACTGCTATAAAGTCCTGAATTATTTGGTGTAGTTTTCATCCCACTTCTAAGCAAGCAACGTGTTTAAATTTGTTTTTCTTACAGGTAGTCCACCCTTTCTATGCATATTGGCAGAGTTTCTGCACTCAGAAAAACTTTGCTTGGAAAGAAGAATATGACACACGACAAGCCTCAAACCGCTGGCAGAAACGAGCTATGGAAAAAGAGAACAAGAAAACAAGGGATAAAGCAAGGAAAGAGAGGAATGAACTAGTCCGTCAGCTAGTAGCCTTTATTCGTAAAAGGGATAAAAGAGTGCAAGCTCATAGAAAACTTGTAGAAGAACAAAATGCAGAAAAAACTAGGAAAGCAGAGGAATTCCGGAGGCAGCAGAAGCTCAAACAAGCCAAGTATGTAAAACTTGGAACAAATATTTTGGTTTAAACTTGGAGAAACTCTCTGTAAGGATACAATGTCAAGTTATATTCTAATATTAGCTTCACTTGCTCTTTTAAACATCCTTGAAAATTTCATGTATTAGTTTTGGTGTCAGTTATGAGTTTTTTAAATTTTGAGTCTGTCTGGAATGTAGTGACATGTAGAGGTAACCAGGGAGTAGTGATCTGCATGGTGCAGGTAACTGGCTGTAGTAGCACAGAATTCAGTGTGCTTTTAATTGCCTGGGGAGGTAAAATTTAATAGTTATCATTATTCAGCACCTTCCTCCCAAGATACCAGAGAAGAACGCGTTATCTTTTAAATAATACTTTCTGTAATTCTCATCTTGTAAACACAGTGTAGAAGTTACTGTATTATTCTACTTAAAGGCTTGCTGACCAGTATAAAGAGCAGAGCTGGATAACTATGTCAGATCTGGAGAGAGAGTTGCAAGAGATGGAGGCACAATATGAAAAGGAATTTGGAGATGGATCATATGGTGAAGATGAATTTGAAGAACAGGAGGCAACAGGCATTGATGGTATGGGGTGTCGGGGTTTGATCTATGGCAAGTTGTCAGCCTGAGTATTGGCTCACTGCACTTAAGGCCCCAGATTCACAGCCTCTAGCTGAGGTGTGCCAGGCCAGAATGTGGCGCTGTCAGGTGTCTTTCATTGAATGTGAGAAGACATCAAGCTACAGCTGTTAAATTATGCTACTGTGTGATTTGGTGAGATGATCATGATCTGTCTGCATAATACTAAAGAAGTTGAATGTCAGTGTTGTAACTATTTGCTGCGGCTTTAAGAGCAGCTTACTCAAAAATCTCTCACCTGACTTTGTCTCTCTGATCTCCATTAATCTCTTCAGGCAAAGTGAATGATGAGACTGAAGAAGCTGAATTTGTTGATGGTCTCTACTGCCCTGCTTGTGACAAATTGTTAAAAACTGAGAAGGCGTAAGTGCTTGTAGCTGGGGATTCAGAGGTGGGGGTGTTGAGTTTTAAGTTTTTAAAAATGCGTTTTTAAGACTTCTTAACTTCATGTTAGTGTCATCTTTCCAGTAGAGATGATGCCAGGGCAGAATTTTCCGTATTTAGTAGTGATGGATAATGGGCCTCTTCGTTAATTTGTATGTAAATATAGAAGTGGTTTCTTAGAGCTACCTGCGGTAACAATCTGCTGGTCTTTACAGCATGAAGAATCACGAGAAATCAAAGAAGCATCGAGAGATGGTAGCACTATTACGACAGCAACTGGAAGAAGAAGAAGAGAAATTTCCTGTATCTTTGGACAGTGCAAATGGAATACATACCAAAGAGGAGGAAGAAACAGAAAATGTGCCCAAACAGAAGTATTTTAAATTGTTCTTAATGATTTAATAAGTCTTTGAGGTCCTCAGAGTGAGCTTCTTATGATTTATAGATGTGTTGAAACTCACAGTATTGTGCAATTTTAAATGTTTCTTAGCATCAGGTACAGTAAAATGCATGCATTTAGTATGACTGGATTCAAATGCTGTAGGACAATAGTCTCATTTTCTCTGCTCCGTAAAAGTTAAATGTTAAGGAGAAGTCGTGATTGCCTTTTTTTTTAATGGCTCAAGGCCAGTATTTATTGATTTGGTACTTGGAGTTTTTTTGTCAGCTGGATGCTGACATATATGGTAAATGAGTGTACTTAAAAACAGAACTGATGAAGTAAGTTGCACAACTTGATTTTTTTGAATGGCCAAAGCATAACACCAACTATCTCACCAGTATCCTCAAGTTCAATCCGAGCAGAATGATCATTTTACTAAATGCAGTGAGTAGTTAGCGGAACTGTTGTTCTCGTTTCAGGCATGAGTCAGTTTCAGTTTGTGGCTAATATCTCCTCAATGCTGTGTTAAGATGATAAGCAAAAATGTAACTGGATACCTTTTTAGAAATGGTACCTTTTTTTTTTCCTAGAAAAGAGGTCATTTTAAATTCTTGTCTTTACAGACTCTCAAAGAAGCAGAAGAAGAAACAGAAAACACTGATGGTATGTATTGATACAATGAAATTCAAGGAATTTTACAACCTAGTTATGTTATCTCCTAACTTAAAATTTTTGTCCTGAAAAATTCTACAGAACTTGAAGACTGTTTTCAGATACTTTCAATTCTTCTTTGACTGCAAAATGACTTTTATTACATTTATTATTATCATATTTTGTTATAATAATGTCATAGACCTGACTTTGTTCTGTAGTCCTAATAAATGTGGTGCTGGCTTTAGAAAGGCTACAGTCTGAAACAAGGCAGCTAGGGAGAATCCAAGGAATTGATCAGCAATGGCCTTAGTGCATTAGTAGCTCAATTGTTTGGTTATTTTGTGCTTTGGTTGCTAGAGTACAATTTGTAAATCTGTAACTTAGTTAAAAAAAGAAATGGCACATTGTTGGCATCCTTCTGACAGTGTAGTTGTTGGAAGCAACACATCCATTCCACCTTTCACTTGAAGTGTAAACACAAGTTATACCAATTTGTTGTACTCCACAATCTGAGTCTGTGCACGATATGACAGATGTGTGCTGACAGCAGCAGGGTGGAGCTCAAGAACTGCAATCTGTTTCAGGCTTCTGTGGCAGGAGCGTCATAGTGAGCAAACCCTTCAGTCTGCCTTCCTCAAGCTTGGTCCTTTCCAGGTCTTACCTTTTTTCTACTTGCTGCCTCAATCCTATCCTTGTCCCACTGAGCTACCTGTACTGGTCCTGCCTCCTCTGTCCTTTCCCAGGATGGTCTTGTGTCTTCCCCCTACCTACCTCCTCTGGTCTCCTATTACATATTCACCTTTACTGTCCTCTCCCACAGCATCATTCTCTCTCATCTTCAGGAAACTTCCCTGAGACTTTAAAGCAACTGCCTTTTTCTTGCTTCTCTTTGGCTGGTCCTGTGTAGTCCAAATTAGTATTGGCTTGACTTTGTTTCCTTGTAGGCCATCAGGCTCCTGTTCAATTCCTGCCTCCTCAGTTTGAAATCAGGTTTTGTTCTCACTGTACAGATTGCATATAGTCACTGTGTCTCCCTTCCATCAGTTTGGTCATGAGATCTCCGGCAGCCCAGACAGCAGGTGCCGCTCTTTCATAGCACAAGTTGGGGTCTTGTGCTGAGAGGTTCTTCTGCAAAAATAACCTCCATCCTCTACCAAGCAATACTGAGTGCAGGGAATTGCTGTGGTTTTTGTTTTGTTTTCCTGAATGTAGATAGATTAAGTTTTTCAGGTAGCTGAAACTCAGTGAAAGATACTAGAGGTGATAGAGTTGCATTAATGTAATGTCAGGTCAAATTCATCATCCTGCTTTTGAGAACTGACCTGTTCAGCTTCAGACATGCTCAGGGATTGAATTTTTATCAGACTGCATGTACTGAGTCTACTCTGTCTTCTGGTACATGGAAAAGGCTGCCAGTGTTGCTGGTGTTAGAGGAAATACAGTGTGTCTATCTATCATCAGTCAGCTCAGTTTGAGGTAAATGAGGTATAATACTATAAACATAATCACTAATGAACTTAAAGTAGTTAACTTGCATTTCTTCTGTTTGGACAGACTTATGAGGACTCTTTTGACAAAAGTGCTGATGAAGAAACAGTTGAAGAAAAGGAGGTGCCCTGCATGGACAAAGGCAGTGGCTCAGCAGAGGAGTTGGTAAATGATAGCCAAAGAAGTGTTGTGTCAGAGGACCCAAGCGCTACAGAAGACGTTGGGCAAATGCATGAAGCAAAAACTGAAGTGAAAAGGTGCGCTGACTTGCAGTGTGGCAGTCACTGTGCCATTCTGTGTCAAGTTTAATACTGTCAAACAAGTCTAGATTTACTCACCATTGTGAACTGGGGGCTACTCCACTAAATCATTGTTGAATAAAGGTGATACTAAACACGGAGTGTTAGGATCTGCTTTGGAAATGGCATTAGACTGCAGATCCCTGCCACATAAGTTACCAGTAGCAGATTCATCATCTAGTTGAATCTTGAGATCAACAATTGATCGTATAATTGCTTTACTTTTTTAGCTGGAAGCACTTGCATTGTATTGTATGAACGAAGAATGAGGGGAAGCAGCAGACACATTGATGATTGAAAACCATCAGAAGCTCTTAAATGTTGAATGTTCTGTGCACTGGTCTTTGTTTCTTTTTGTCTCTCAGCAGTACTAAGCCTAAAGGGAAAAAAGCCAAGGATGCAAAAAAGTCTGCTAAGGCATCTTCAGAGTACCCAACAGCGGTATGTCAAATTACTTATCTAAAAGATGGTGGTCACGTTATTACAAATGAGGTTGGTAGTTTGATAACCTCCAGTGCACAAATTGTTTCGTTTTTCTGCTATTTTTCTAATAGAGCAGGTATTTCTATCCCTGTGATTTTATTAGAGGCTGGGAGACTGAAACATCAGCCCTTGTCCTCGCAGAGAAGAGTGGGACTAAATTCCAGTTCTGAGGAAGTTGCTAAAACTCTGTATCTGAGACAGTTCAAACTAAATAAATGAAGATAGAGCTGCTGTCATCAGGGAGGTGACAGGCAGAACCATTTGCATCTTTCCTAATACTAATGCTTCCCAGAAAGGGCAAAATCTTGTAATAACTACAGCTAAGACGTACTAAATTCACTAATTCTCAGAGACCAAAGTAGTAAGTGTGCAGTCTTTTTTTAGTCAGGTGAAATCAAAAGTAAATTTATCTTGAATTAGATTTGCAAGGCTTCTGTTCTTCTTGGTTCTACTTAGTACTCTATTTGTGATTTTTTTTTTTTAAATGTATATATTTAATTGTTTGTGATGGAGTTTCTGATAGAAACAAACAGCTTATTTATATTTCATTGTCTAAGAGAAACTGAATACAGCCTATTGGTGTATTGTATTTATTATATATTCATAAACATGATTTTTTTCTTTTCCTCTCATTATAGAATGACGTTCCCATCCACTGTGTAACCTGCAACTGTGCATTTCCATCCCGAAATAAACTGTTTGAACACCTAAAAGCCACAGGACATGCAAAAGCAACACAAGCACCAGCTGTAAATGAGGCTGTAAACACCAAAACCAAAAAAGAGAAACGTAAAAACAGATAGAACTTTGTTACAGTGAGAAGCTTCAGAATCGTACATGAGAACTCGCTCAAAACTGAAAGATGCACGTTGCCTGTGTTTGGAGTTAAACAGGAGACAAGTCCTAATTTTGGGAAAAAAAGGAAGATGCAACAAAAGGAGTATTATCTTGGGAAGGAACCTGTGCTTTCTTTTGGTTATTGGCCTTTCTTGAATGACTGGATTTGATCTACCAGCTTTCACAGTGGATATGGGGAAATAGTAATTTAAAGCTACTCACTTGCACTACTGTAGGAATTTGCATGGAGGAAATTATTAATTATTTTAACATGTGTGTTGCTGCTTTTCTTTTGAGAGGGCTTATCTTGGGGTGAGTGTAGCCAATAGATGGATCTGTGCTGCTTTGATCATCTATCAAGGATGAAACATCACCAAGACATGGAAAAGCACAGGCTTTTCTTCTGCCATCCCCAAGGGCCTTGTCAAATTACTTAATTACATTAAACAGTGGACAGAAGGTAACAAGTAAGATGACAAAGCTGGCTAATCAGTTGTGTCAATGCCTGTAGGGCATGCAGGTAGATATACAAAACCAGTGTTGGGGAAAAAAAGTCTAGTGGAAGAACCTTGCTGGAGTAAGTGACAGGAGAAGTAAAGGAGTGACTCAAATAAATTTATTCGTTCTGATTTCTGCCAGAAACATCATGGGAATTGGTATTGCACTGCTATTAAAAAAAAAAAAAGTGGGATTTCAAACACAGGTGGATTTTACACATAATTGTAAATGCAGTTACACAGAACGTTAGGGATTGGAAGGGACCTCAAAAGATCATCTAGTCCAATCCCCCTGCCGGAGCAGGAACACCTAGATGAGGTTGCACAGGAAGGCGTCCAGGCGGGTTTTGAATGTCTCCAGAGAAGGAGACTCCACAACCTCTCTGGGCAGCCTGTTCCAGTGCTCTGTCACCCTCACTGAGTTACAGAAGGTTGTACTCAAAAAGGGCTGTATTATAGTTAGGAAACCCCTAGAGTAAAATTTTCCAAAAGCACAGATCTTGCACTAACTCAGTTCCTCTAAATTACCAGTTCCTCACACAGAATGGCAGAACATTCTCCCCGCAGGTTGACATGATACCTTTATTGGATCAAAGTAAAATGATAAATGTAGAGTTCTTGTTGACTGTCCACCAAACCATTTTTTTCCTCTGGAAACTTAAAGCAGCAATGAACTGAAACATTAAAGTGATTATGTAAGAAAGAAACATGTAAACTCTGGCTGGTGAAATAAGATGCCATCTTTGCTAAATGCCTACCAGGATGTGCTGTGCAATCCCAAAAGCAGCAGGAGGAAAAGAAAACCGTATTTTGGTAAAGATGGTAACTGGATTGGACCCCCATGATAAAAATAATTACTATAATTAGAAACTTTTGATTCAACTCTGTGCAAATATTTGGGTTTTTTTTATCATGCCCTAATTACAGTATTCTTGGAGGAAGGGTAAACAAACTTAACCTCCAGTTATCTTCTGCTCAAAGTGATTCTCAGCCAGAGACTGACTGTGCTTAAGTAAATGAAATGTCACATACTGAACCCTTCTATGTTAGATTTTTACTTATTGTTTTTTTCTTACTTAAATAAAACCAAATACTTTAGGTACTTTACAAATGCTTGTACTTATTTTTTATAAAGGACAAAGTTTTGGTAGCAGGTAGGGGAGCAGCAACAGTGACCACTGGCAGGCAGTTGGGGACAACCCTGCAGCAGACCCACACCACTCAGCCGTTCCAGAGCTCGTGGTGCTTCTGTGAAAACACAATGTATTTAGGAACCAGCAGCAAACATCGTGGTACAGAGGAAGATGGCTGGGGGAGCTGGAGGCACTCCAAGGGAGTGCTGATACCATGCCAGGGGGCACTATGGATGCCACAAAGTCCAAATAGCATGCACTTCCCCAAAACAACTATTATTTTCCTGTCACTCTTTCTAAAAATTACCAAATTTGTTATGACTTTCATAGATGAAAGATGAGTGTGTGTCTGCCTCTTCATCTGATACCCAGTTAATCTAGTCAGGGTTTTTTATTATAAGGCTAGCATAGGTGTACAGCTAATACATGGCATTTTAATACTGTAGAGCTGAACTGTATGTTTACAAAGCAGATTAGAACATGTCCTTCATTAAACACCAGATCTCTCAGACTACACTTATAATAGTGTACTCATCTTCAGATTATGATTTTCTTAACCAACGTAGATTGGGTGGCAAGTATCAAGAGGTTCTGTTGTTTCATGTGAGGAAACAAGTCTATTTCGCAGCTGTTCTTTCCATGTGTCTCTGTAAAGCAGTATGAAGTACTTCCACACCAAAGTCAACATCCTTTTTAGTAATGCACATAGGAGGTTTAATTCTAAATGTCTGGGGGAAAAAAAGAAAAAAAAAAGACATAGTTAAAATTGCACTGCAAGAATTTAGCAACACATCTAAGTCAGCACTCACATTCTGCCCCCCAAAAAATCTAACCTAAAGTATGAAAAATAACATATGGAAGAACAGTAGAGAAGGGACTGAGGCTTCTGATAAACACATTCTGAAGTGAGGAATTTTTGACTTGACTGCATCCAACTCCCTACTCCACTCCTGTGACAAAGCACCTGCCTCCAAAGGAGACCTGACTAGACAGATCATGTTTGCGGCTCTGTTACTCCAGACAGGGTTAGTATAAAACCTTAGGTTTGTACTGAGAAGGAACATAGGTGTATTTTCCTTTACAGCAGCTTTGCCATAGGGAAAAGTACTTACTGAAAGTACCAGTCTCTTGCACCACGTCAGCTGATTTGCTGTTGTATTTTAGGCTTTTTAAAGGCTTCTAAGAGAACGTATTACAAATGAATCACTGCATACCGACTTTCAATTAGGGTACTGTAGCTTGAATGCATGTTGATCAGGAAGGGATATATGCAGTTTAACTTGTCAACAACTTAGCTTCTTAACTCCAAATGTTTGATCTATATTATAACGTTTCCAAGAGTATTTAACTTCCATAAGAATCTTAAACTTTCAGTTTACATTTTTCTGTCCTTGTATCCCAGGACTTTGTGCAGCAAGAGTGGAATAATGGTCTTTCCTGTCCCCAGCACTCAACTGTCAGAGAAGCTCACAGATAAAGATCACTCTCATGAGACACTCAGATTTTACCACACGAAACTGCAGCCCATTACCGGTGTACTGGTCTGTGACTTCTGGAAGTGATGAGGTGACAGACGCAGTGTCCTACTTATTTTAGCCAGTCTTCATCTATTGCATACAGAAGCTGCTTCCTCTATATCAAAGGGCTTCACTGACCTGACTAGCCCTGAGGCAATTCTCTGCTATTAACTCGCATGGTGTAAGAAGCTGGTGGCACAGAGCCCTGGGTACAGTGCAGTGCATCTTCAGATGATGTGGGCTAATACCCATTCCCATGCAGTTCTTGTTTTTGCGCTGCATTGCTGAACTTGCTATTTTTTTAATTTTTTTTTGTTACCATCCAGGTTGAAGGCTACCAGCTCTCCAGAATGAAAGAATTAGCAAAACCACACTTGTATGGTGCCAACAGGTCAGCAGCTAACCTGAATGGTAGCAAAGACTTAGTGGACCTGAATACTGCTCGTTTATTGTAATTTACACACATTATAGTACATTGCTTTTGTAGGGGAGGTTGTCCCTCTAAAGGAAAACTGCAAGCTTAGAGCCAGTTCAGCATACTTGAAATAAATAGCTCCTGCCCAATTTGTCAATTATAGAAAATTAAACAGAGCTAGTTCCTAAGAGTGAATGTTTTCTAGTTTATCTACTAGAAGTTTATGAACTAGTTAAATTTGGCTTGAGGGAAACAGGATGTAGTTCCAGAGGACAGAAAATACGCTGTACGCATAACCAGAGGTTCAGTACCTGACCATAGGGCCCTCCTCTCCCAATCAGAACCCCCATGTTTTTAGTGTCCTCCCAGATCTGACTCATTTCTTCAGCTCCAAGAGGGCGGCGACTATCCTAAGGAGAGTGAACATTAAACTTTACTTAGATATTCTAAATTAGTGTTACAAACTGTATATTCCAATGTCTCTCCAATAAATTCCACCCCGATTTCTGGTTGAAAACATTAGCTGCATAATTTATCTACCTTCAAAGATGAGTTTATGCAATTAAGTTTATAGATCATGGAAGGAGAGGCTGGC